TGATCTGGGGGCCTGATTTCGCCCTTCTTCTCTTGCTTCTCGAGAAATTCAGGCCGTGCTCTGCTTTCTGTTCCCGACAAATTCCCCTTGTTGTTGATTTGATTCCCCACGGCGTCGTCTTTACATTCATTTCTGTGCTGGATCCCCCGCAGATTGCAAGCATCCCAAGACGGCCGACGACTTCCTCGGGCACACCCCCAGCCCCAAGGCCAAGCTGCTGCGATCAATGTCCGCCATGATGCCCTTCGCCGAGAGGGACGCTAACCTCAGGGACGCCAATAACAATCTGAAGAGACGAGGCGTCGTCGCCGGCGGCGGCGGCACTGCCGCCTTCGCCTCGCCCACCAAGCCCAAGCCGCCGCCCAAGAAGAGGTTCCAGGACGACGCCGAGAACCAGGACCCCGCGCTGACCACGCCGCCTCCCGCGGCAAGCAGGCCGCCGTTCGGCGCGCAGCGCTGGGCCAAGAACGCCAAGGAGGCCATCAAGTCCAGCGCGGAGAGGCGGCCGGACGTTGCTGAGAAGGAGGCGCTGCTCGGCAGGAACCCAGCGCCGAGGCAGCTCAAGAGCACTCTCTCGGCGAGGAACCTCTTCTCCGGGAAGGACATACTTGGCCAGATATCGGATTTCTACAATGAGCTCAAGCAGCGGATGGCCGGCCAGCAACCTGTCTCAGAGTCAGAGGCCATGGAGGAAATGAGCCCAAGACCAATGTAATTTCTCTCTCTCTCTGAAGCAACGCTGGGGTATCAATTTTGGGTTGGTACTTTCAGCTCCTTGACATTCTCATTTGTGCAGAAACAGCAGTGATGTGGTGAAGAAGGTGGATTGTAGCAGCGGCGGCGGTGGTCGGGTTCTGCCGGACGCAGCGAAGAAGGTGGCGAGGCAAGGAACAGCAGAAAAGAGTCCAAGCCCAATGTAACTTGCTTGTCACTGTGAATGCAAAAGCGGCATTAGAGGATTGTAGGTTGAGATACTGATCATAATGGTTGTTTGTGCAGGAAGGGAAAGAAGATTGGGTTGAAGGTGGAAGCAGGGAAGCCAAGATCACCCTCTGTGTTGAAGGAGGTGAAGGCAACACCGCCTACTCCACAGCGGTTTCCATCCCCCTATGTAAACCGTGTCAAGAGCGTGAAAGCTGCAGGCGCAACATCAAGCTCGCCACTCAAGAAGCCACTGAAGGTGACTTAATCTGTCATGCCTATAATATTGGTTATTGATCTATGTAGTGTTGGTGACTGTTAGACTGAGGGTGTTTGCTCGGTGAATTCTTGGTATTTGTGGGTTTCGACTAGCCTTTGTGAAAATATTTAAGAACATTCCAATCAGCCGAGCACTTGGTCCTGATCAGAAAATTTAGTGATCTGAATTATCATCAACATAGTTAATTTTCGGTATTTGTGGGTTTCTACTAGCCTTTGTGAAAATATTTAAGAACATTCCAATCAGTCGAGCACTTGGTCCTGATCACAAAGTTTTGTGATCTGAATTATCATCAACATAGTTAATTTTCGGTATTTGTGGGTTTCTACTAGCCTTTGTGAAAATATTTAAGAACATTCCAATCAGTCGAGCACTTGGTCCTGATCAGAAAATTTTGTGATCTGAATTATCATCAACATAGTTAATGGCTCAGACTCGGTTATAACCCTAAGCTAGAACTTCACTTCCTCAAAATGACAAGTTTGATGCTGAGATTGTTCTGTACCGTTTATCTTAAGACCTTCGGCGTGTCATCCTAACCTTTTCAAGTCTAGCCACGAGGAGAATGCACTACAGTATGGTTTCTGAGTCCAAGATCTTTGAGAACTTCAGTGTCCATGCCTGTCAATAACCCGTGTCTCCTTATTATGCATGTTCATAAGCTAAAATAATGTTCCTTTTCTTCGTGTTTCCAACACAATTGAGTCTGCAGTGTAAGTTCCATTGTGCATAGCTTATGGTGTATATTTTACTCCATTCAGTCACTTGAACAGTAGCATGTTTGATCTCATGTCGTCACTGTGACCTTTCTTAAGGGTGTTCGTTCAGGTGTTCTTTTTTTTGTAAATTAGTGGCATCAGCATATGTGGCACTAATTCCATGACCGTGTACTGTAATTTTGTCAGCGACACAATTATGATAAATGTTTTGCTCCATTTTTACTTTCACTTGATCAGTATGCTGTTTATTCTCACCTTATCATCGTGTCCTTCCGTAATGGTGTTCAGGCATTTTTTCTGCAAATTAGTGGCGCTAATCATATGGTTCATCATTTACTGTTATGGCGACATATGGTCTTCTATCAGTGTTGTGAATCCGAAAATAGTATCTCAACACAAGCTAACCATGCATTTTAACTAATGTTGATATCTACTGCCTTCTCTTCAGGATAAGGGGACGCCTAATAAAGATCAGGAGAACAGCAGAGATGCTAAGAGGCAACCTTTTGGGGTTAAAGATATGAACAACAACAGGGCTTATGAGGCCGAAGAGAGCTCCAGTGGCGTGTTTTGGTTCTTGAAGCCCTGCACTTTCCTGGTGGAGTAGCAGCAAAATAATCCAGAGGCTTTAAAGCTACTGCAATTCATGTAGTTAGGATCGATTCTTTGTTTCAGTTTGAAATACCCCCCAGTTCCTCCTATTTGATTGATTCATCTGATGGACATTCTGTCAGGCAAATAAATAGAAAGCATATGTATAGTTACCAGTCAAGTCATACAAGTCTAGATATTAATAAATTCCATGAGTAGACTTCAAGATATAGAGAGATGTTACTGCTCTTCTGCTAATTGGCTGTTTGAGCAAATGTACTGCAGATGATATTATTGTTCAAAATATAGAGAAATGTTATTGTTCTTCTTCATCTTAGTGAATGATATATCCATCCCAAGGCATACCCCCACTATGGCCAGCCTAAGACCATTCAGGTGTTTGATTGGAGGAACACTCAGGGAGACTCGTCAAAGTCGAGGGCAGGTTCAAAAGTTAATTGTTACATTGCTCACCTCTACATGAGTCGATAATTGTTTGTTTCTCAAGCTCTGTGTGACTGTAGATATAATTTGTTACACTTCTGTTTGTGCTGAAAACGGTATGCATTTGAGGCAGAGACAACGACTGCTTGGGAGGTGTTAGTGGCTATGGTTATGCGGCTATAGCACGGAAGAGCAGAGAGGAGAACAGTTACTACCTATGGCCGATTCATGAAAGAGATCGACATAGACTTGAATGTATAAATAACAAAACTTACAAGTGTGAGTGTGTGCCATCAAATGTAGAAAAGTTGAAAGAGCTCATTATTTTGGTTGTGTGAAAGAATCGCAAGCTCCTCAAAGACACCATGCATGTATGAGTGCGGCAGCAGGTAACGATGTTCTTGCATACTACTCCGTCCGAAAAGCTTGGTACATCCATTTGAGGGACAAGCTTTTTCAGACGGAGGGAGTATTGGACATAACCAAGGGCTATTGCAACTAAATTTGATAAGACTATTTGAGACAGTTAGTTGCTATTTTAGACGTATCCTGGTGAGCTCAGCAATGAATAATATATCAGGGCACCTTAAAGTCACTATAAGCCAACCTAATGCACTAGAATTATTTCAGTGCTTTTACAAGCCAAACTGATTACTTAAGATACAAAGAAAAATGCCTGATCACCCTTAAGAAAGGCCACGACGACACAAGGACAAACAGGCTACTGATCAAGTGAGTAAAAATGGAGCAAAATATTCACCATAATGGTGACAAAATGACAGTTCAAAGACATGCAACTTACCTGAAGGGTCAATAATGCACATTTTTGGATTATGAACAAGCATAATAAAAATACACGGATTATTGACAGGCACGGATACACTGAAAGGTCTAAAAGATATTAAGCTCATAAACCATGACTACAGTATATTAGGTTAGTTCTCTTGTTGGCTATAGGTAAAGTCAAGGATGATACGCTGTAGATCTGAAGTTAATTCAGTACATAAGTACCTCAGCAGCAGCGCATGTAAGATCTAGCCTATGGAAAGACATACCATTTTCAGGAAGTTCTAGCGTGTGAGCCGGTATGATACATTAACTGTGGTGGTGATGATTCCACCACTAGCAGTTAGAACCATCTTCCATAGCTTTGCAACATTGCTTGATCTGGCCCATATATGAATTCAGAAGAACTATTTAAACTGACCTAGACGATAAACTCATTGCTTTTTCAAACAGAACCTTATAGCAAAAAAAATATATTGCAGCATTTACACTGCTGGTGAAGAACAACGTTAGTGAAAGCATGCACTAAGGTGTACTCCCTCCGTTTGTAGTCCATTTGAAATGCCTAAAAAGACCTATATTTAGGAACGGAGGGAGTACCATTGAGCAATACAATTCAGTTTTCAGTATAACATAAATTCCATCATTAGGTCACATCATCTTTTTTTCCGAGGTAAACTCAATTGAGCACATAAGTCTACACAAATGATAGGGGTGAATTACATTGCATAAAAAGTAACACCATTGCTGAATTTAAACCTCATGGTTTAGCCGTTTAGACAGTATAGAGCTCCAATGTAAATGCTCTTTCACAATAAACTCTGGTCCAATTGATCTTGGTGACCAAAAGAATTCATACATGAATCACACTTCTAATATCCAGAGGGCAATAAGATGCTACGAAATTCATCTAGAGATTCCTATGGGAAAATGAAGGTGCTCCAGAGAAGTTACATCATAAAGAGCTTTCATATGCGGCCATTTTTTATGTGGGACACCATTAAAAGCAAGCTCTTCCTGTTTTACTGTCTCCCAGTAGAAACACCAAGATCATGCTCGACACGTTGTTCTGGAATAGAAGAGGCCTGCAAAATTCCAAAATCAATGCAAGCATGTGAGGGAGATTATCTTTAGTTTTAGAAGTTTGTGTAAGAGCAACATATTGTTGCTCCCTTAAAAAACTAGATAGAATATACGTCATCAGATTATGATACTTGAGATGTTAGCAAATAGAAGCAGATGGTTCGATCTTGCACTAATTACCTTTATACAAACAAAGAGAAACATGTGGTAAAACTGTAACTGTGATGTGTAAATGATACAAGCATTGGATCTCGGAATACACAAAACAACCGATCAGTCCAGGAAATGTTCTGGAGCAACTACACTTAACTTTAAGCATCTCCTACAAATTACCAAGACAAGGTGTAACTATTCACTTGACTAGAACACTTCTATGGAGTAAACAACTATTCATATGCAAACAACCATAAGCATAGCAAACAGCTGCCAGCGTTTGGGCAAATCCTATGTTTTCATGCAACATCCTTACTCAATGTAGTTGATATCAGTATTAGTTGGAGAGAACGTTAGACCTTTTTTCAAGATTATATATACCTTATTTATTTCAAGTGTAGAAAGTCCAGTGATATCAGGATTCTTGAGCTGCTCAAGCTGCCGCTTCCCTCTCCTCATCAAATACTCAATGTACACAAAGTTCCTGCGATCTACACTCTTGGCATTCTCACGGAACTCTGCTGAGACAACGGACTCTATCCTGCGGCGCTCCTCTGGGGACTTGAGCCGTGCTGTCCGAAGGAACCCTCTGTATAATGCCAAGGCCTGCCTCTGGATGCCAGATAGCTTTGTACGGGACGCCATCTCATCCTTGTGACGCAGTCATCAAAGCCTGACAAAAAAGTGGAACTATCAAATGAGTTGTCTCGTGGTGATCTGCATATTTTTACCAGTGACGGGCTTATTCAGTTGTCCCGTGGAGTACAAAATAAACTAATCTACCGCCTAGCAAGCAAATCCACAGCGAACGGGGCTAATTTTGGATTAGATCGCGCGCAGGATAGAAATACAAGAGCAGAACTCTCGGAACAAATCTAAGCAAGCAAAGTCTGGACGGATCTCCAATCCGTGCCGGTGCGATAGAAGGGAGGAGAAGAACCTGCTCACCGGCGCACGCAGGGTCGACGACGGAGGGGGCGGGCGGAGGCAGGGGCAGACGGAGAGGCGGGAGATAGGGACTTCGTCGCGGCTCGCCGCCGGCGCCGCCTGTCGGGATCGCAGAGGGAGGGCCGCGCGCGCGGAGTGCGGCGGAGGCAGGGCAGGGCCGAGAGTTTACGGGCGCTGGGGCTTCGCCTGCCGGGGTATCGCACGGGAGAGACGAACGGAACGGAAGGGGCAAAAGCAAAAGCTGCTGGTGGTGTATTCGATCGATTCTGTCTAGGGGTAAAATGGGAATTGCAGGTCAGCAACCAGCTATTTTTTTTAGGAAAAGTGCCCGTGTGTTCGTTCATATCACCGGTAACTAAGGCCACACGTGGCTTCTGTTTGGAACAATCCCCAGGGTCGGCACGTTAAGAAAACTTGCAGGAAAAACCAAGGAAAGAATGGGCCTGCACGGTTATTTTTCTTTTGCGAAAGGGATCAGCTCTTATATTATAAAAGTTCATGTACAAACCCTATCAAAAATAATAAAAATTAATTCTGAGACCACCAAACGACCACTGCTGCCGTCAGAACGATCCGCCAACGCGTCGTTATCGCCGTTCCTCTATCGAAACCGACTTGACCTTGTCAATGACAACGGGAAGTCTTCCTGCACGCGTGCCTAAGACTAGCGCCCTGGAGGCCGTAGTCTTCATCGTGAAACCCTTGCAAAGATTTGAAGCACCCGACACCAAATCTCACCACGTGGCGAGAAATACTAACCTCACTGCCCCAAGGAGACAATAGGAATCTACACTGGAGCTTCGTCAACTATGACCACACAAACGAACTCGACGAGAATCGAAGCCCGAAAGACAAACTCTAAGAAGCTGCTACTTGTAAACTGCGTTGGGATTTTCCCCGAAGAAGAGGGGTGAAGCAGTACAGTAGAGATAAGTATTTCCTTCATTGAGAAATCAAGGTTATCGAACCAATAAGAGAATCAAGCAAACTCCCCTAAGCAGCATCTACACACAAAAAAACAAATACTTGCAGCCAACGCAGGCAAGGGGTTGTCAATCCCCTTGTACTCGCCACTTGCAAGGATTAAATCTGATAATGATAGATAGATAAAAGGAAAAGTAAAGTAAGGAAACAAAATGCAGCAAAGTATTTTTTATTTTTATAACATGATAAAGGTAGATTCGGGGGGCCATACTTTTCACTAGAGTCTTCTCTCTCGAACACATAGCATACGGTGGATGAACAAAACACTGTTGGGCAATTAATAGAAAGCGCATAGTTATGACGTATTCACGACAATGATCGTGTATATAGGTATCACGTCCGTGACAAACAGACCGACTCCTGCCTACATCTACTACTGTTACTCCACTAATTGATCACCATCCATCATGTATTTATGGTATTAAGTTCATGACAAACAAAGTCATGCTTTAAGCAAGATGACGTGATTTAGACAAAGTAAACCCAATCAATATGAATAAACCATGTTGTTTTATCCTTAATGGCAACAATACTATATGTGCCTCGCTATCCTTTCTGTCACTAGGTGAGGGCACCGCAAGATTGAACCCATTACAAAGCACCTCTCCCGCTGAAGATAAATCAATCTAGTTGGCCAAACCAAATGGATAGATAGGAGGGAAATGCGAAGATATAACAATCATGCATAATAAAGTTCCGTAGGAACAAAGTATGTCTACCAGAGGGGGTGAATGGGAGTTTTAAATTTTCTTCAGAAAACTTAAATCTCTTAGTACCCAGCAGCGGAATAAACACTAAACAGACTAAGAAGAACTACAACAGATAACCGAAGGGAAACTAAAACATGCATCGAAGTAAAATACAAGAATAGAATGCATGAAGGTAAACTTGAGTAACACAGGAAATCGAAGGTTCTCGATGGCAACAAGGTATTTGTTCGACCAGTTCGTCCATCTGCACAAGGACTACGTCTGGTTGGAGGGGCTGTGACTTAACACGGAAGATAAACTCTCTTCACCCTATTCTCCTCGACAATCGATTCATCAACCGATGTCGATCACTCATGGTAGATACTTGAAGACGATCTACAAACCTTTACAGACTTCTTCTTCAAGAACCACAATCACTTGGTCTCGGAAGAACTTGACACCTAACCGTCTAGAGAGTTTGCATCTCTCAAGAGTAATAGGCGGAGCGTACTAAACTTAGATTCGAGTGATGCCGAACCACTATCTAATTCTTCGGCTCTAGGGTTTTTATTTGAGTGGATTTTAAACTCAAATCGCTCAGAGAGGGGGTTGCTCAACAATCTTCTCATAAATCAAACAGAGCAGCCACAGGACAAAGCCAGCGCGGGGTGGCTATTTATAGCCGCAACCTTCCTAGATGGGAAATGACCATTTTGGGCACGAGGTCAAGCCAATGGCCAACCGACACGTTCACAACGGTCGGATTTTTGGAGCAATGGTAACATTACTTGAGGAACAAGTAATGCTAACTCCTCGGTCCGAGGCAAATCTCTCACAGCGAAGAAGATCACAGTCTCTTGCTGGCAAGTATTTGCTCAGAGCACAAAGATATTTCTCTCACAGCTTTCATAGGTTTGGGTTTAGCATCAGAGAATCAAAGCTTCGAAACGCTACACTCCTCTTTATAGTACGGTGGTCCTATGACCCAATGAAAGAAGAAGAAGAGCGAAATAAATGCTACGTCTTCACTTCATCTTCATTCTTCCTCGAGCGCAATCATTTGCTTCGAACAATCAACGAACCAATTGCTTAGACTTCAACAATTTTTAGGGGTCACTCTTGTTATCTTTATTTTTGTGATAACCTTCGCTGCTACGCATGGTGATTATCTTCGTTTTTTTCATCAAACTCATCGATTACTCCAGGGACATGTTACTCTGTGTGCACTAGCAAACACACAAGTACCAAACTGTTTATGTCAACAAACTCCAAAACATAAGGGGCCTATCATTGCACCAACAAGTTCAGAAAAGACTCAATTACTTTCAATGAATAATCTGATCATAAACCCACAATTCATCGGATCCCAACAAACGCACCGCAAAAGAAGATTACATCGGATAGAACTCCAAGAAGATCGAGGAGAACATGGTATTGAAGATCAAAGAGAGAGAAGAAGCCATCTAGCTACTAGCTATGGACCCGTAGGCATGTGGTAAACTACTCACACATCATCGGAAGGTAGCAAGGATGATGTAGAAGCCCTGTGTGATCGATTCCCCCCCTCCGGAAGAGTACTGAAAATGGCCTCCAGATGGGATCGCGGAAGAATAGAAGCTTGCGACGGTGAAAAAAGTGTTTCGGGTGGCTATGGTGTTTTGGGAATATTGAAGAAATTAAAGATGTGGAATTAGGTCAAGGGGTGCTACGTGGGTCCCATGAACTCAGGGGGGGGGGGCGCCTACCCCCCTAGTGTAGGGGAAAACAAAAAATATATTATACGCACACACAAGATCTATCCATGGAGATGCATAGCTACGAGAGGGGGAGAGCATCTACATACCCTTGTAGATCGCTAAGCGGAAGCGTTTATCAACACGGTTGATGTAGTCATACTCTTCACGATCCGATCACGATCCAACCGATCTAGTGCCGAACGGACGACACCTTCGAGTTTAGCACACGTGCGGCTCGATGATGTCTCCTCCTTCTTGATCCAGCAAGAGGGAGAGGAGAAGTATATGGGATCACAACCAACACGGCGCCGTGGTGGTGATGGTGGTGGTGGAGCATCGATAGCGCTTCGCTAAGCGTCACTGAGAAGAGGCGATGGAACTACGGGTAACGGGAGAGAGAGGGGCGCCCCTCCCCTCTATATATAGGTGGAGGGGCTTGGTAAATAGCCCCTCCAAGCCCTAGGGCACAGCTAAGGGGGAGAGGACTTGGACTCCAAGTCCAATCCTATTCCTACTAGGACTCCTTCCTTTTTTGCCTTTCCTAGCCACATGGGCTTTTGAGGACTTGGTGCGCCTAGCCCAATAAGGCCAGGGCACCTCCCCGCAGCCCATGCTAGTCCTTGGGGCGTGGTGGACCCACTTGTGGACTTCCGGACCCCTCCAGAATCCTACGGAACCTTCTGGAAGCTTCTCGGTACAATACCGAAAAACTGCACCTTTTTCCGGAACCCAAAATATGATTTCCCATATATAAATATTTACCTCTCGACCATTCTGAAACTCCTCGTGACATTCGGGATCTCATTCGGGACTCTGCAACACTTGGTTACCACTCATCAAATATCCCAATACTACTCTAGCATCAACGAACGTTAAGCGTGTGACCCTCCGGGTTCGGGAATTATGTAGTCATGACCGAGACACCTCTCCGGTCAATAACCAATGGTGGGAAATGGATGCCCATATTGATTCCTACATATTCCATGAAGATATTTTATCGGTTGAACCTTTATGACAACATATGTAATTCCCTTTGTCTGTCAGTATGTTACTTGCCCGAGATTCGATCGTCGGTATCTTCATACCTAGTTCAATCTCGTTACTAGTAAGTCTCTTTCTTGTTCCATACTAGATCATCTTGTAACTAACTCCTTAGTCACTTTGGTTGCAAGCTTCTCCTGATGCTGTATTACCGAGAGGGCCCAGAGATACCTCTCTGTTACACGGAGTGACAAATCCCAATCTCGATTCATGCCAACTCAACAGACATCTTCGGGGATGCATGTAG